CACAAAATATGTGTGTGTGTGTGTGTGTGTGTGTGTGTGTGTGTGTGTGTGTGTGTGTGTGTGTCTCCTCTAACCTCCATGTAATCCACCTAGTGTGAATTTTTGTGTGTTTTGGTATGTGAAGGCATGTGTACTGTGTTTATATAGTGTGTGTGTATAGGGTGTCTACTCGATATGGTGTGTGTGTGTGTGTGTGTGTGTGTGTGTGTGTGTGTGTGTGTGTGTGTGTGTGTGTGTGTGTGTCCCACTCCACTCAGTGTAATCTCACGATTCAGTGGTTCAGAGAAAATCTCCCACTTTCCAATAAACTCTATTTTTCCTGTCTTTCTCTGCCTGTCCAGCTCCCCCTCTCCCTCTGTCAACAATAAATGAAGTGAATGTTTGTCGTTCAAATGAAGCCTCTCGCCACACTCCATCACAAAACACCACGGTTACCACGGAAACGGCAGTTAACCACTGTTTCTGAGATGAAGGGGCTTTATTAAAAAACGCGTTGCCACTCACCGATCGAATAACTTACTGACATGGTGTGTGATGGTGTGTGTCGCACTTATGTACGTCTGTTTCTGACTTACAGCTGGTATCTGTAATATTCACCCTCTGGTTTTATCTTGATGTTTGGAAGCCATCAGATCCATAAGCCAGGCTACGATAAGGCCTACTGACTTTGGCGGTCACTTGACTTTTTCTCAAGCATTCCCAGATTTTTTCAGTTGCACACAAACGTGAAATGTCTACCAGATGGATTAAAACAACTTTTTTTTTTAATGACATACATGGATTGTTGATCTCCTGAGTTTTCTTCTTGCACCACCATGATATTGAAATGTGTGCTTTTGAGTGAAAACTCCGCAACAATTGTCTTGATTACCATGACATTAGCTATAGACATTCATGTTGACTGCAGGATCAATACAAAATAACTTTGTTCTACTTTTTTCCATCACCTTATATTCAAATTTGGGTTAGCTATTAGCCTTAGCTTTCTGTTAATCCAAATTAGCCAATGTGAACATATTTGTTTTAGCCATCAGGATAGTGATACCAAGTTAAAGCTCGTAAAATGGGCTCCTTTCAGCTCCATTTTTGTGCCAACATGTTCTTATAGTATGGTTGGATGAACAGTCTTGAAGCGTAATTTTTCAAAGTTAGCAATTGACATGAGAGACATAGTGAAATTCTTTGAAAGTGTAAGTCACACTTAATGATATCAATAAGTCACACCTCTCTCCCTTCCTTTAGGGAAATCCTCTTGAAACCAACATAAGTAGAAATCATCCCATAGTGTCCCACATTTAGATACAGCATTGAATTGGATGCAATAGATATTTGAAAGGGTGCCAATATTCACAAATACAGCACAACTATATAATCACCACGGCTTCAGTTTTTACTGGGCAGAAAATCAAGTAAAATGAGAACTTTAAATATTTGAACAAACCTCTAATTATCCATAGATAATGATTAATGAAGGACATGAAGCTCACAACGTTGGCATAATGCAGAGTCAGTTGTAGAGAGCCAGCTGTCAAATGTGTTGTCTCAGCATGAAGCTGGCACAGAGAGTGTGTTCAGAGAGTGAAGCTAATCGGAAACTGCTGGTTAGATCCACAGATAACACATTAGAGACAGGAGGGATCCAGACCAGGAAACACTCCTTTAAACTTTCATATATTTTAGGGTGCGGACTCAATAAGTTAATATTTCATCGACCAGTTTAGTTACTTACCATTGTGTATGCAGCATTTACATTTGTGGAGTCTAAATAAAATGTTCCAATGGTTGTTTTGCAGCCGTCCCTAAATTGTCTCTTAGTAAATGTAGTGACATTCATCAAGTTTCATTTTCACTGCAGTCAATGCGACCATCTCTTATATTCGTCCAAAATTAAAACAAATAAAGATAAATAAATAAAAAACAGTAAGGTGTCGCTGACAGTTACCTAATACTTTAAAAAAAGATATACCGGTAATATAGGAAAGCCTTTGTAGTATATACTGTATTGCTTTTCTGACACGTGTCTTTGTATGTGTGTTTGAGTGTGTCTGTGTGTGTTTATTGTTAGGGTTGAGAGGGCAGGCAGTAAGTGTGTTTTGCAAGTAGTAAACACTTGTGTGAGTGGAGATGAGATATCTGTGATGACAACCGTTTTTTTAAACAACTGTGCTTTGTTCCTGTACTTTTTTATTTGCCTATTACTTAAACCTACATCCGATAAAGAAAATACAGTAACAGTAAGGAAGTAAAAAGCTAAGATTCACTCACCCACATCCTGATGAGCCCCTGAGCCTCTGAGCAGGAGCTGGTCAGACCGTAACAGTAACAGTTGCTGCAGCCGAGAGGGTTTGGAACCGACAACCCGAACGTATCGGACTTACAGCGTTCACAGTTGTGTCCTTCCACATTTGCCTAAAACAACAAACACAGAGTTGAGGAAAGCTTTTGTGATTTCTTTTGTAAACATTTTCAATTTATTTTAAACATATTAGTGGTAGTGGGGACAACATTTAGAGGAGCTATATTCACTCAACTCATTTTGTGAAACTTGATCCTGTGAACTAAACATAGTCTGAAAATAAACAAAGCTCATTGGACAATAGCCAGTTATGAGAAATTAATTGTTTTTTTTGTATCTTTTGATCAACATCTCTTAAAAGCATCCCACTTTACTGAGGATGTCGGTTGTCCCTTGATTTCTCTGTTGTCTTAGATGAATGAATCCATAGCTTCTTATTACATCAACACATTTTATATAGATTTAATAAAATGTGATGCTTTCTATAGATTTTGTACCCATGCTTTAGGTCAGAAAGCAGATTGAGCTTGGGAAAAGCACTCCTGAAGAGCTTTTGGGATTTAATACCTTGCATAGGGAAACTTCAGGAGGACATAGTAAGATTAAAGTCTGAGCCTAAAACACTCTGCTGGAAAAGTGTCTCTCTAACATCACGTCCACACACCTGTTCATCTTGCCATTAACATTCATTTTGTCCATATTGAAATAATTGGTTGCTATTTTCAATGTTCTGCATCACATATTTGAGATATTAAAATACACGTAAGCAATACCACATAGAGAATGTATTTTTGTTGGTTGCATTATGTTGAAATAACTGTCTCACCACACTGAATTGTTTACATTTTGAGTAAATAAGCTGAGAGCTGTCTGGTCTAAAGTGGGATTGTGGACAGGTCTGTGTATTAAGCCTTCTCTCTCTCCTAAGGAAAAGCTCACAGTGCTGTCAACAAAAAATCATCCAATTAATGTTGAATTCTGTCAAAAAGTCCTGCAGGTTAGTGAGGCAGGACCAGCACCAACAGAGGGGAGTAAAGCTATACTGAAGGTCCTAAAACGTCGACTTTAGTACTTTTTATTATTAGCATTCGTTACAAGAGGTCATTATGTTTGACTAGCAAATCATCGATTTAATCATAAAGTATTTTTTAATTTATAGATTTTTCTCCTGTTAAATACTGAGGAAAATCCTGGGCTCACATATTGAAGAGTGACAATTTTCTTTGTTTTCTTACAGTATATTACATTTATGATCGTATCAAACAGATATTTGAGAGGCTAACATGCGTGAATGCTGTTGGTGTTTTAAATCGGGCCTCAACACTCAGTCAACAATTTGATTTCTTGGATCTTACATTTTCACTCTTTTAGTGATATTTTTTTAAATATGTTATCCATAAGGAAATACATTATATTCTTCCTTAGATGGAGAGACAGAGTGGAAGAGAGACAGACAGACAGACAGACAGACAGACAGAGAGACGGACAGAAGACAGACAGACAGAAAGACAGACAGACAGACAGAGAGAGAGAGAGAGAGAGAGACAGACAGACAGACAGACAGACAGACAGACAGACAGACAGACAGACAGACAGACAGAGAGACGGACAGAAGACAGACAGAGAGAGAGAGAGATAGACAGACAGAGACGGACAGAAGACAGACAGACAGACAGAGAGACAGACAGACAGACAGACAGACAGACAGACAGACAGACAGACAGACAGACAGACAGACAGAAGACGGACAGAAGACAGACAGACAGACAGACAGACAGACGAGACGGACAGAAGACAGACAGAGAGAGAGAGAGACAGACAGACAGACAGACAGACAGACAGACAGACAGAGACGGACAGAAGACAGACAGACAGACAGACAGAGACGGACAGAAGACAGACAGACAGACAGACAGACAGACAGACAGACAGTCTGACAGACAGACAGTAAACTTGAATAACACGTCACAAACAGCAGACAGACAGACAGACAGACAGAGACGGACAGAAGACAGACAGACAGACAGAGACGGACAGAAGACAGACAGACAGAGACGGACAGAAGACAGACAGACAGACAGACAGACA